CCAAAAAAAAAAAAAACAAAACAAAACAAAGGCTGGAGCTGGAGCGATAGCACAGCGGGTAGGGCATTTGCCTTGCACGCGGTCAACCTGGGTTCAATTCCCAGCATCCCATATGGTCCCCTGAGCACCGCCAGGGGTAATTCCTGAGTGTAGAGCCAGGAGTAACCCCTGTGCATCGCCCGGTGTGACCCAAAAAGCAAAATAAATAAATAAATAAATAAAAAAGACGATTCATTTTGCCCTTAGATCTTTTCCAGATCTTGGAAGGACCACACGAACTTTCAAAAAGGGATGGAGCAATAGGACAACGGGTAGAGTGTTTGCCTTGCACATAGCTGCCCTTGGTTCATCCCAGCATCTGATATGGTCCCCCAAGCACTGCCAGGAGTGATCCCTGACTTCAGAATTATGAGTAAGTACTGAGCACTACAGGCTGTGGTCCAAAACCAAAACCCAAGAAAATTTCAAACAATCCACTTACAATCCACTCCTATTTTCTCAGTGAATGATTTGCCACACATTCCAGCACCTGGGAAGTCCTGCAGCTCTACCAGTAAGTGAGTCCCCTTGCCAGGGCCTAAAGAGGTTCCCAGCAGAGGGGTTCTACAATAAACAGGTTTTCGTGGGCCTGTGTGAGGTTCAAATGTTACAAATGACCATATATATATGGTCATTGTGTGCATCTCAAACTTTCCACATACTGGTTTCGTACTGGGCACTCTGTAAACAGGATTACTCTCCTGTTTTGCTTTTTTTGGGTGCCCAGGGCTCGCTTCTGGCTCTGCATTCAGGGATACTTGTGGTGGGGCTTGGGAGATCATATGTGGTGACAGGGATTAAAATTGGGGTTCGCCACATACAAAGCATGCACTCTACCTGCTGTACTATCACCCTAGCCCAATTATTCATTAAAACAACAATAATAAAAAGTCCAGGCAGAGAGATAGTCCATGTACAAAGGCCCTTGCCTTGAACATGGCCAATCCTGGTCAATCTATATACAGATCTTGAGCATTTATAGGAGTGACACTATATGAGAATAGAGTTAAAAATAATCTTTGAGAGGCTAGAGAGAGTACAGAGAAAGGGGGCTTACCTTGCCCATGGAGGATCCAGATTAGATCCCCAGGACCCATACGGTCCCCTAAGCCCTGACAGGAGTGATCCCTGCGCGAAGAACAAGGAGTGAGCCCTCCCCCCCCCAAACAAAACGAGGTGAAGAATAACTTCTCAACTGCCAAACAGAGGCAACATCAGCGCGATAAAGAAGGTACTGCAAGAGAAATGCCAAGGTTTCAATCCATCTCTATAATTTAGCAGAATCTATCCCTTGACCTTAAGTACAAACAAATCATTTGGTCAGTATTTAACAACAAAATTCCAGCAGCATCATTACTAAAATATTAACTATCAAACAAGCAGTTGTAGAGATGTCTTAGTATAACCTTGAGCAGGTGATGAATCTCGAGGTGTCTCTATCTGGAAATGGGAACCGCAGAACTCAGGATGGCAGAGAGGAATGTTACAATTTGCCAAAATCTTAGGACAGTGTCTAGCATGAAAGCACTATACATAGGTCAGTTATGAACTTTACGAAAAACTTACGGTCTTATAAGTACTTAGGAATACTACAATACAAAAGAATTTACTCAAAAATTAAGAATGGCAAGAGAATAGAAATACAAATAAGGTACTGTGTTCTGGTTAGAGAGAAGACAGCATTCCTTTTAGAAAAAACAACCAAACGCCAGAAAAAGTTATCTACAAAGGAAACCACATTACCACTTAAGATTTATAAAAAGCAGGATAAATTTTTATCTACCTGGGATGAGTTAAGTGGGGTACTGACTGAAGTTGCAGGATACACTAGAGGTCCTTTCAAGGTCTCTTGCCATCCAAGGACTCTATAATTAATGGAAAAAGCAATTATATACCACCTACTCGTTCAAATTCAAAACTATAAAGCTTTGCTTTGCAAATAAAATCACAAACAAAACTAAATTGAGAATTTTATTTAGTAAATAGATGTGAAAATGAAATTTTATCTGAGTCCTTATTAATTAAATAGTAGTATCTAAATTAAAAGATTATCCATTTTTAGTTTTAGACATATCAGTTGAGGACTGACCATCTGCAGATAATTCTCCATGCTGGGGACTGGCCCCAGATCTTAACCTGAGATGTGCACTCTTGGCTTTTTTTCCCCCTCTGGAGAAGCCTGTGTTCTCCCTTGAATATGTATTTCTCTCTCTCTCCCCCTCCCATTTCTCTAAGTGAATTTCTTTAAATAAAACTATTTTACCTCACTGGGAAAAAAAAAAAGCCATTTGTAAAGAAAACAGGTTTAAAAGACATGAGAGCATACAAAATACATAGACAGGCTCCAAAGAAATGCTTTCCTTTGCTTTCATAATTTGTAATTTCCTCATTAATATCTAATACCACTAAAACCACTTACATAAAGATACCAACTATAAAACAATTATCATAAAAAATAGCAATACAATGCAGAGCACAGCCTACTCGTAACACCATTCCAAGCACACTTCGGAAAGAAGGAAACGTGCACACCTTTGCTTTCAGAAACAGGTGCCTACAGTGATTGTAACAGGAAGTCAAACTTCCACACTAGTCCTCTTGGAACAAAAAGCCAAAAACAGTCACTTCTAAAAAGACCTCTGCTAAACTCCTAATTCCATTTTACCACTCTGAACACCAGCTGAAATAATCCAGAATCTAAAATCCCGGAACATGGCTGATCAATCCAGAAACGTTTGAAAATCCTTAACGATTCACAGACATTAACAATCATAGTTTCTTCCATGCACAAGCCAAAATCTAACCTGGGGTAAATATTACAGATGCGTTCATATAAGCTTTGCTGTTTAGAGCCTTACCTTCAAAAGAGTGGTAATCCGAACTTGACCCAACTTGGAATAAAAGACTCTTTGAGTAACTGCACATACATTCAAGAAGGAACCTCCACTAAGGGTCTGAGGAACAAGGCTGAGGGATCTGAGCTCTGCTGCTGAGCACTTGACCAGCATGTGAGACTGTGTTTAATCCCCAGCACCCCAATAACCACAAGCACCAAGCTCAGCGAAGCACCTGACCACCAGGTACGGCCCAAAAATCAAAAGGGAAAAAAAGACAGTCCCCCAACTTTTACCCTTAAGTAAATTACATGCCATTCTTTGGCAACAAATGCCATGTAACAGCTATATTTTGTTTGGGGGCCGCACCCAGGGTGGTCAGGGGTTACTCCTGGCTCTACACTAGGCAATCACTGGTGTTGGGCTCTGGGGACCATCCGGGATGCCGGGGATCGAACCCACGTCCAGCATGTGCAAGGCAAGGGCCTTAACTGCTTTAGTATCTCTCTGGCCCCGAAACATTCATATCGGAGCTAAATGTAAAAGCTTCAGATTTAAAAAAAAAATCAACAAAATACTCTATGAGAATAATATAAAAGATGTCCCACATTTCTTAACTTCCTTTTCCTCCCCAAAGGTGGTGTAAAATTCAAAAGCTCTTAGAAAATTCGTTTTAAGAGGCATGGGGCTACCCCAGACTTTCAGTTTTCGTTGTCTGAAATGTTTAATACAAATTATTAACACATTCATTGTTCAACATCTGACAGGTTCTTTTTTTGAAAAAAAAAAAATCCTCCACTGGTCTACAAATGTCCCTTCCTCGATCCCATTTTGTTACATGCATGAGTTACCCACTCAACAAATGAAACGTCCCACCCAGAGCTGCCCGAGAGCCCTGACCACTAGGTCTGTTCCCTAGAAAACTTCCTGGCCAATTTGCCTTTCTCTGACATGACTTCTCACGAGCCTCCAGACCCCCGGGGGCCACAATTGGGCAGAAATCGGGTGGATTTGGTGAAACAAAAAGCTTTCCTTTTTTTTTTTTTTCTTTTTCTTTTTTGTTTTCAGCATCCCAAGAGCAGTGGGCTCCGGAGCGAACATGCGAATGCTGCCCATCCAACACGGGCGCGGGGGCGGCTGTCACCGGCCCCGCCGGGTCCCCCTTCGTCACAGCCCGGGGGACAGCGCGACGGGGGCGCGCGGGGTCGATCCCACCAAACGGGCGGCCGCGCGCTCCCAGGGGGCGTCGCAAGTCGGCGGGAAGGTGCCAGGGGGGTTCGAGGTTTCCCGGCTGGGAGCCAGAGGCTTCTGCAACCTGCGACCGGGACGGACAAAAGGACGCCGCAGCCTCGACCCCCGGTCGAGCCCGCAACAAAGAACCCCTTTCCCGCACGCCCCCTCCAGCCGGACTTTTCGGTCGCCCCCCGCCCCCGACCCCGCGCCTGCGCCCGCCCCCGGTCCCGGTCCCGGTCCCGGTCCGCTCACCATGGTTCCTCCGGGGCCCCCGAGGCTCCCTCCGCTGCTGCAGCCTCCGCGACGGCGTCGCTCGCCCGCCCCGCGCACCCCGTCCGCCGCGGCACCCCGGGGCGCGCACGTCCCACGGCACCCAGGTCCCCCGCCGCCGCGCCCCCATCTCCGCCCGGGCCCGCCCGCCCGCCCGCCCGCCTGCCCCGCTCCCCGGCCGGCCGCCTCCCGCCGGACCTCGGCAAGTCCGCGCGGGCTCCCCCGGCGCCCCGGCCCGGCCCGGCCCGACCCCCGTGCCGCCGCGCCCCCTCGGAGCCCACCTGGCCCGGCCCGCCCCGCGCGCCGCACTAGTTCACACCCCCGTCACGTCGGGCTCGCCGCCACTCCCCTCCACTCGCAAAAAAAAAAAAAAAAAAAAAAAATTCCGGCCCGGCCCCCGCACCCGCAACTCAGCCCGGACCCCCGCCCCGCGCCCCGCGCCCCCCGCCGCGCGCCTCCCGCCGCCGCCGCCTCCCGCCGCCGCCGCCGCCGCCGCGCGCCGCCTTTGTCGCCCCGCGCCCGCCGAGCGAGGCCGCTTTAAAGGGGAGGGCGCCGAGCCGGGACGCCAGGCCACGCCCCCCGCCGCCGCCGGGCCCCGCCCCCCGCCCCTCCCCGTCTATTTACCGCCCTCATCAGCACGCGCGAGCTGTCACCGCGACGCGAGAGGCCCCGCCCCCGCCCGCCCATTGGCCCGCCCGCCCGGGCCCCGCCTCCGGCCCCGCCCCGGCCCCGCCCCCAGCCCCGCATTGCGCCAACTGCGCCGCGCCGGGCCCCCGCGCCGGCGCCCCCGCCGCAGCCCGTCCGCGCGTTCCCGCGGCGGGCGCCAAGTTTCGGGGCCGGGGCCCCTCGGGACCCGGCGTAGAGGGGCGGCGGCGTCGAGAGGCCGCCTGAGTCGCGGGGCCAAGGTGGGCGGCCGCAGAGGAGGGGAAATTAGGAGGTTTCCAGACAAAGAGACTCTTAAAGGTGCACGTCCTCTGGCCGACCCTCCTCCTTAAAGGGCCCGAGGCCCTCCCGAGCCGGCTCCGCCCCCGGGTCCCCCAGCCCTGCAAGCCCGCGGACCCGGCACGGGGATCGGACCCAAGTTCCCGCACTTCTTGGAGAAGCTCTGTTCATTAACGTGGCCCGCCCACTGCCAGTGGGAGAAGAAGCCTTGCACGATCCTGTTGGTGATGCTGCTTTGTGGTCTTTGAAAGATCAAGCGGTTTTCGCCCCGGATCATTCCGAAAGTAGCAGCCTCCAAACCGGAGGGTTTCCCGAGGCAGCGTCTGCTCAGTTACCATTGGCTCGCTCCTCAACGGTTTAGCACGCACGTGTGTTTTGACTTTTTGCCACTGAAGACCCAGATGGTAGTCAGCTGCTTTCGGAAAATTCTCTATAAATAAGAGGGTCCGCGCAGTCAACGATGATTCTTCTCCCCAAGGGATAGAACCCTTAGGAAAACGAACAGCTGCTATTTCTGCAAGTTTGAGAGCCGGGAGGAAACCCTGGACACTGCCAGCTGTGGCCCCCAAAACAAAACCCAGAGAATTCTTACTAACTTTGCAATGTTTCCTGCTGGACCCAAGAACAGTCTTGGAGAATAAAGATTGTCTTAGGTCCTTAAAGTGCCTAACACAACAGGTGCTCTTGACTGAAGGATTTTGGAGGATCCCTGGACCAAAACTTTTTCAAGTAAAGCCGCGTAAGGCTTTACTTGAAAAAGTTTCCTTGTTTGCGGTCATGCTACAAAGTAACAAGGGGAAAGCTGCTGTCTTTGCCCAAAGGAGGGTAAGGGCACCAACTGAATTGGCAGTGAAAGTATTTTCACAGCCACTCATTCACAGGGAAAGAGTAACAGGTTTCACTTAATAAATTATTTAGTCCTTTAGCCCAAACTAAAATGTTTGTGGGGTGGAGTTCATGCCCAATTCAATCAGTTTAATCAAAGGCTGAACAAATAGCAGTACTCCTACATTATTAAAAATAATAATAATAAGCCTCTCGGAGAGCCCAGCAAGCTACCGAGAGTATCTCGCCCGCACAGCAAAGCCTGGCAAGCTCCCCGTGAAGTATTCGATATGCCAAACACAGTAACAAGTCTCACAATGTTACTAGGCCCGCTCGAGCAAATCGATGAACAACAGGAGGGCAGTGACAGTGAAATAAAAAATTAAAAGAAAAAATTTTTTAAATAGGGCTAGAGTGATAGTACAGCAGGTAGGGCAGGGTAACTGCACATGACCAACCCCGGTTCGGACTTCGGCATCTCATATGATCCCCCAAGCACCGCCAGGAGTGATTCCTGAGTGCAGAGCCAGGAGCATTGCTGAGTGTGACCCAAAAAGAAAAAGAAAAAAAATTTTAAAAAATGTTTGTGGGGTCAGAGCAATAGTATAGTAGGTATGATGTTTGCCTTGCATGCAGTGGGCCTGAGTTCGATCCCTGGCATCCCACATGCTCCCCTGTGTCCCACCAGGAGTGATTCCTGAGTGCAGAATTAAGTCCTGAGCATCGCTGGGTGTGGCCCAAAGCCAAAAATAAAATAAGAATTGTGTTCTCATGTGTGATTCGATTAAAAAAAAATTTTTTTAATTTAAGTACCTGGGGCTGGAGCAATAGCACAGCGGGTAGGGCGTTTGCCTTGCACGCGGCCGACCTGAGTTTGATTCCCAGCATCCCATATGGTCCCCTGAGCGCCGCCAGGAGTAATTCCTGAGTGCAGAGCCAGGAATAACCCCTGTGCATTGCCGGGTGTGACCCAAAATGCAATAAATAAAAAATGAATAAATAAATAAATTTAAGTACCTTTGGGGCGGAGAACCACCTCAAAGGCCTCCAGAACATGCTTTGCATGCACAGGCCCTGGGTTCCATCGCAAGTACCCCCAGGCCCCCCAAGCACATCAAGGAGTGTCCCCAAGTACCTGTGGATTTGGCTCCCAAACCAAACATGAATAAATGAATGAGAAGATACCAGCCTCTACAGCCTTAGGTCTGCAGAAAGCATGTCTGCTCCTTACCTAAGCGCGAGGCTTTCTCCTGAGGGGAGAGAAACTTCTGAGTTTTCAGCTGAATTGGTGATTCTTTCCATGGAATCAAAAGATAATTTCAATTTTCTTTCAATTAATTGCCATATTTTTACACAAAAGAACCCCTGACGGATAAACTGTTTGTTTCTCTTTGGGTAATATTTTCTCAGAAACAAATGTGTTAGCAATAACACTCAAGGTTTCACGTGAACCTCGGCAAGTTTTAAGACTACCTGCCACCAAGAACTTACTAGCTCCCCAAGATATTTCTAATGCATGTGGATATTTTTTAAAACAGTTTTGAAGTTGCATATTAAAAAGTGGACATTTGGAAGGTCTGTAGTAGTAGTTTTTATTTTATTTTGCTTTTTGGTTCCTACCCGGCAAAGCACAGGGGTTACTTCTGAATCGGCACTCAGGAATTACCCCTAGCGGTGCTCAGGGGACAATATGGGATGCTGGGAACTGAACCCGGGTTGGCCACATGCAGGCAAACGCCCTACCCGCTGTGCTATTGCTCCAGCCCCTGGTAGTAGTTTTTAACGTGATCAATTTGTTATGCGAAAAACCACATATCCATACAGGAGCCGAAGTGCAAAATAAACCAGTGCATTTTAATAGAGTAAAAAAAGTTTAGTGATAACAGCTTGAGATTCCATATTATAAGCAATTTTGACGTCGGATCAATGAAAATCCACAGTGAGAGGAATATTATTAATATGTCACACTTCTCCAGCTACACCACTATGTGGGGTCGGCTTTTCTCACCGCAACACAAAATAGCACAAGAGATTGGATGCAAAAGCAGACATAACTGTTCCACTCTTCTATTATACCAGACAAGAAACTTGCAAAAATAGAAATCAGAGGGCTGGAGAGACAGCACAGCGGGTAGGGCGTTTGCCTTGCACGCGGCCGGCCCGGGTTCGATTCCCAGCATCCCATATGGTCCCCTGAGCACCGCCAAGAAGTAACTCCTGAGTGCAGAGCCAGAAGTAACCCCTGTGCATCGCCAGGTGTGACCCAAAAAGAAAAAAAAAAAAAGAAATCAGAGGATGGAATAGGAAAGACACTTGCCTTGCACACAGCCCCGCCCGGTTTGATCCCCAGCAGCCCAGCTGGTCCCCGAGCACTGCCAGGATAATTCCTGAGTGCACAGCTAAGAGTAAGTCCTAAGCACTTGGAGGTGTGGGCCAGGAATAGAACAAAACAAACATGTTTTTGTGGCCCACTCTTGAGGCCACAAAAAAAATGCTCTAAGGGGATGGGTATTTGATCATTGTATAATTGAAACCCAAGCACAAAAATGTGTAAGTCTGCAACTGTACCTCATGATGTCTCACTATTAAAATTTTTTTAAATAAAAAATAAATAAATAAATGATCTCTTGGTGTTTCTTCTACTCATCTCTAGAGGGTAAGACCCAGAGACTATAAAACCCAGCTCCCTGAAGAGAACAGCGCAGAGTCTCCTGCCCCTGCGCCTGGCTGTCCTCACCTGGGCCCCGTGGAGGGGGGTGGGTTGAGTTTCCCTCCCTGCCCTGACCAGAGCCCCGGCAGTCGAAGACCTCCAGAACCAGCCACAACCATGCTGAGACCACTCTCCACACGCATGAAGGTACCGGCAGAGGAACAAAGGCATGTGGGTCCCGGGGCTGAGATCTCCAAGCCTGCTCGGATCGGGGCTGAGCATCCTCCACCCAGATCCTCCATCTTCCAGTAGGCAGGGGTCACACCCACCAACTGGCCCCCAGCACCGTATAATCCCATCAACGGCCAAGACCCAGAGACTATAAAACCCAGCTCCCAGAAGCGTGTGGCCACATTCGTGGCAGCGCGACATCTCATTATCTCATTCTTGCTTTGGACAACCTGGCAGGCTACCGAATGCAACCTGCCCACGCAGCAGAGTCTGGCAAACTCCCCGTGGCATACCCAATATGCCAAATACCAGTAACAAGGATGGGTCTCATTCTCCTAACCCTGAAAGAGCCTTGAATGTAGCACTTTTTAGAATCTCAGGGCTAGGACGAAGGAGACATTACTGGTACCTGCTCGAGGCAATCGACGAACAACAGGATGATCATGATCTCTCGAGGGTGTGTATGCAGAGCAAAGAGGAGAAGAAGCAATAGGAAAGACGAGAGAGCTCCAACAGTCCACTTTCTCAGACACTGGCTCCCAGGCCTCAGGGACTGTGAAATGAAGGAGGAAGTTCCCTGGAGAGAACCCGAAGGAGAGGTCCAGATGGCAAGAAAATGCCAGGTTCACAGTAAACCAGTAACACATCCCAAACCTGAATTTTCACGTCCTTCTATTTCCTCTGCAAGGCGTAATCCCTTGGGAGGTTCTCAGGCCCAGAGATTTCTGAGATACTCGAATGAGACCTAATGATTTTTTTTTTCCTTTTTGGGTCACACCCGGCAATGCACAGGGGTTATTCCTGGCTCTGCACTCAGAAATTACTACTCCTGGCGGTGCTCAGGGGACCATATGGGATGCTGGGAATCGAACTCAGGTCGGCTACGTTGAAGGCAAATGCCCTACCTGCTGTGCTATCGCTCCAGCCCCGAGACTAAATACTTTATAGACTAAAGCCATAGTCTCCAAACCCTGGCTGCGGACACAAAACATGC